GGCAGGACCCCGCTGACGTAGTAGGCGATGCCCAGGCCATTTGCAGGGCGATGACCACCAGCAGCAGCAGCACCCTCCAGAAGCCCAGGTCCTCCACAAACTCCTGCCAGGTGGTGCGGAAGCTGGACAGGACGCCCTCGCTGCTCTGCAGGTTGGGGTTGAGTAAGGAGTGGCTCTCCATCGCGCTGGGACAGACGGACGGAGGACAGTGCCGTTACAAACAGGAGCAATGCTCCACCCTAGGGCTGGGCGGTACGGCCAAAAGATCCACATCGCGGTTTTTAGATTCTGGTTCTGACGGTGTCCCGTATGTGGCCGTGTCGCTTTTTCAAGTAAACACATTCATTCATTCATTGACCCCAATAAAAGGACCACCGGCTACCCGATCAGCTGCTCGCTGCTCGCTGGCCAACTGGCTCGCAACTGGCCGACGTGTTAGCGCGTTAGCTCGTTAGCGTGTTGTGGCTGTTGTGTTGCCAATGATCAGTGTTGGTTTATGTGTCACAAGCAGAGGTGTCAAGTAACATAATACAAATACTTTGTTACTGTACTTAAGTAGAAATTTTGGGTATCTATACTTTACTGGAGTATTTAGTTTTCAGACGACTTTTTACTTCTACTCCTTACATTTTCACGCAAATATCTGTACTTTCTACTCCTTACATTTTAAAAACAGCCTCGTTACTTCCGGCTTGTCGTAGTTCAAAAACACACAAACACAAAAACCCATAACCGGCGCTATGCGGACAGAGTGAATGTGATTGTGTTTGGATGAGAATATAAACATTTAGCATCCAGACACCCGGTTGGCGACACCGGGTGGGAAAAGTGGTCTTTGGAAAGTTGGTATTCAGCGACACGGACCCTCCTCCTCTTCCTCACGCAGATTTGTCCTAAATGTTTTTTCTAACTTTATTGAGAGTCTGGCACAACTCAGCGACTTGCAAGTAGTGCAGCGTATGGTGTGTGGTTCACCTCTCACTGTCGGCCATCTGCATGGTCTCCAGCTTGGAGTGAGGTCCCCTGTTGAAGCCCTTCACCTCCTGCTCCTCCAGTCCTTCCAGCAGACGGATGGCGTCCTTGTTGACGCCGCGTCTCTTCGCCAGCACCAGAGGGGTGGAGCCGTTGTGGTTACTGTGGAGCAGAGCAGCCGACAGACACACTGTTAGAAACCAGGGGGGGGGGAGGGGCAAGTGTCGACACGCAGACACACACACACGCATACACACAGACATACTGCAAACTCAGACACGAAGATGGCGGTGCCCATCTGAGGTATTGAGACACCACTTTGCTCCATGTGAAGGGGCTTTACGGGCCCCCGCAGAAGCAGCTGACACTGTGTAGAGGACAAAGGAACAAAGAAACAAAGGAAAGCC